TGTAAGTGTTGATGTTGGAGTTGATGTCCTGAATTTGCCCTTATGTAGTGTTGATGTTGGAGTTGATGTTTTGATTCTGCCTTTCCAGAACTCTGGTGTGGGTGCTGTAAGTTTTCATGTTGGACTTGATGTTGTGAATGTTGGGAAGTTGGGCCTTCCATTTGTTTGTAACTTTGGTGCCTTGTGAAATCACAGTTTTGGAGTGGATGGGCGGGATGTAAATTTTTCATTTAGTTTCCATTGGATGATATAAACAGAAAGGCGGGTTGCTATAGTTTGGACACGCGTAAAATTGTTTAAATATGAGTAACTCATGTCGGAATCGTGAGCCATGTTCATAAATAGTTCGATTAAGGTAATGGTGCATTTGGCAGAGACGTGAGAAAAAACTGTTCAGTGGATCAAGGTTGAGAAATAGAGATGAGTCCCTGCGAGTCTGGAAAAACAACCAAGTATAGTATACTTAAAAAACAATCCAGTTCAGGTATTTTGTTAGTTGTATCAAGTCCTGCTATCTAATTATGAATTAATTTTGCCTTGGATTGTTGCTGCTTGCCACACAGACACCATGGACAATACTATTTAGTAGGTGCTGGCAGGAAAAAGTCATCGGCAATCACAGTGATGAATGATAAGTAGTGATGCAGAACGTGATGCTGCTTCTTGCTTGACAGGACTCCATTCAGTTGCACCATAGGTTTCAATCAGGGAATGTACGACCATACACCCTGTACATCATTTTCCCCTTGGTACATCAGTATGTCATATCGAGCGGCATTTTACAACAAACACTCACCAATGCAGTCACTTCTTCTAAGACAAGGCATCGTTCCTTGTGTGTTTGCTTCTTTTGACTCACCAAACCCCAACAAAATGAACGCATGGGCTCTGCCTGGCCTTACTTCAGCCCTCCAATATACAGCACTGCAAAATGTAGGGCAATGCAACAAGAACTTTTACAAGTTTGCTTATAGCACTTATGTTGTATCGAGTCAGCAAGCTATGCCAAGTACGCACAAGATCTTTGCATATTAAATATGAATATATATATATATACTCTGTCTTTCAAAGAGTCAACGACAGTCAACTTGTGCATGTCCCCAAACGGTTTTAAACGGTTTACAGAGAAACCACCAAACGGTTTTAAACGGTTTAGCGGACCTTCTAGTGTCCAAAACTATTTAAAACTATTGTAAACTATCTCGAGCTATATCAAACCATTGCATGAATATACCCCCAAACGGTTTTAAACGGTTTGATGGATCCGTCCCAAACGGTCTTAAACGGTTTAATGGATCCTGTAGCAATGTACATCTTGGACTTTCAATAGATGGCTGATTTCTGCTCTGGAGATCTTCAGATGCCTATACATCAATCCGTGACCAAAAGGTATACATGACATGACATGACATGATTCATAACTTCACAAGTCATAGACACCATTCAAAAGCTTGAAACTGCTGACGTTGAGCATTTGTATATGGCAACTCGTGGATTGTGAGTTGAGTTTGAACTACTCAATGTCAATTGTTCCAGTTCTAAGTACTCCTACCAGGGAGAAAAAACCGTTTGACTTGACAAGCTTGGACTGGTTCAATGTCCTCTTCTGAGATTTCGGGAGAGCACACAAGCAGGATTCAGGAGGAATTGTCACAACAAACTCAACAAGTTAGAAATCGGAAAAACTACTTTTGCAGGAAATCCCGACCAGGTCCGGAACCGTCTGATAGAGATCGAAAAAGCTCGGGAACTGGGAGGGGACTGCCTGTGAACTGTTCGACACCGATCGTAACCGCGTTCGAAACCGTTTTAAACCGTTTGTGAAACCGTTTTAAACCGTTTGCAGGTACAAAAGGCTCAAAATACTATTGTCCTTTATTTTGTGCGTGTTCGTGTGCGTGTGCTGACACTTGCGATTGCCCTCCGAAATTTCCTCACCAGCGAGGGAAAGCAACCGAGCCAGGAACCACCAAACATCTGGGAGAGCACAAAGGAATCTGACATATGTCAGTCTTTGACACAGGAATGAAGCTCACAGGTCTATCCGTCTACAAAATGATGGACAATAATGGCAAAATACTGGGACATTCATCAGGAAGAGGTTTGGAGACATAACCTACTGTCCAAGAATACAACTTCACTATCATCTATAGATATCTGCAGTATTTCATCGATGCTTATCCTACTGTGGCCGTAGGTCTTGTTCTTTGTATGTCAATCCAATGTGTTTTTTATAGGTTTGGCCCCATATGATACATGTAGTATCATTAATCCCATCGAATGTGTCCTTGTGCAATTAGCATGTCATACCTTGCTTAATGTAATGGTAACGCATAATGACTCTGCATTAGCGGAAGCTGGAAAATGCGTTAGTTGAAAAATGGGCGCTGTGCTTGGCGGTGGCATACTTTACAAGCATAATAAAATATGTGTCTATAGTGTACAATTCATGCTTTCCCCAAGCCAATGAATCATGTTGTGTCGTAGTCTGGAAACATGCATGGTTGATGCAAAAACGCGGTTGTCACATATTTCTGACATTTTGCCAAAATGATACCTGCTTGGCATCACTTCTTCTAGTCAGCCTCAGCCACTAGCGCAGTCTGTCATAGTTCTATCTAGGCGTCTTTGAGTCCGTGGTAAACTATGTGTATATATGATATGTGGCATGTGACGAAATTCAGATGCCCAAATTAATCCATCACGACTGACCACGGAGATGTGTTTTCTTGTTTCAATGGTATCACTTGCGCTCATATAGAATCAAACAGTATCATCTGTGTATTTGCGCCAGCTTCAATTGAAAGCACCAAAGGTTTTGAAAGAGTGGTACCATCGATGCCGCGTCCATTGAAAATTGAAACAGCTACATTGGAAGATGCAGGTTTGCAGCATAGTTCTATCGTTCATATCCATTTGAAGAAGACTTACTTTAAAATAGTCCTTTACTGCAACATACTGCAACAAATGTGAGATAGTTGGATAAACTCATCAAATGATTTTACAACAATACGCGCTTTAGATTTTGAACGTGACATTTGTTTACAAACCCAATCAGCATTATACAATTGCTCTCTTGTTGAGCAGGTTGCACATCACATAGTCACCATGTGTAAAATACTATATATTACTATATGTTATATTTAGCAAGTCCTGTTTGCCAAGAAATGCACTTTGTCACCAACTGGGTAATTTGCGTCATTCTTCAATGTTGTGGTTCAAACTATTACTGTACTGTATCAAGTGCAACCATGTTTAACTTTCAAACATAGTTCGAAACCATACCTTTCCTCATAATGCAAACAGTTTCTTATGATATAATGCCATCCGGACAAGTCATGAGTCATAGTCATGACTCATGAGTGATAGTCAAAAGTGGGCCCACGTCATTGCATCATGAACGAACATAACAACAACACAACATAACACAAGACCGGTCAACCAACCATGTTCAGCATTGCATTATCACATCACATAGCTCCACAACACCAATCATAACACACCACATCACAACATAGCTTCACAACACCAATCACAACATCAATTATCACTTCACAAAACTCCACAACATCATTCACAACATCAATTAATACATAACATAGCTCCAAAACATCATTCACAACATCAAATACTACATAACATAGCTCCACAACACCATTCACAACATGAGCAACCACATAGTTTATACATAGTTTATTTGTGTACTGCCTTCCTGAACACAGAACGGCCTTTATAGAGGCCAGTGGCTGAAATAATATATATATATATATTATACCTCGCGCTTGTTCTTGCGCTTCTTGCACCTACCAAGAAAAACACACAAATATTATACTTCCGAAAACTAACATAGACCCTGACAATGGCCCCCTGGAAGATGGTTTTCCTCTACCAACTAGTGGTTTTCAGGGCCCATGTTAGTCTAACAGGGTGTAGCTTTCTTTCTTGCATGTCCTCTTCAACGCCTGGCTTTACGCGAGGGGTTTGAAACAACCCGCAATTGAAGAAAAGTGTGCGGACACCACATCAACACCACAGTTCTAACTAGTTGCCATCGTCGCTGCGGGGCGCCTGGTGTTTTCTTTGTTTTTGGTGACATGGATTTTCACAACAGTGGAGGCGTTGACTTTTTTGCTGTTTCTTGTACAGTACATGTATGCGATGCTACGGGTTATGTTAACGTCCATGTTAACTGGGGTGGGGTGGGGTGGGGCATGTTAACGTTCATGTGCACTTGCGTGGGATGTTGATGCTAGTGGGCGCTTCGACGCGAGAAGATGCGTGGATCACCTCAGGAGAACGTTAAAGCACTTTCCAAAATGTGGAACACGAAGTAGTTTTGGCAAGTGCCGAAAATAGGGTGCGCACGCGTGCACCGCAGGGTGACTGGGGGCGTCATGATTGATTTACCAACAAGACCAGGCGCCTGGTGGCGTCGTTCCCTAATTACAATTCTAACTAGTTGGCTTCAACGATTTTTGCACCACCATGGGACACCATACATAAGCATATAGCGAATTCACAGTCTTTCCATAAGCTGTTAAGGATATCTGTGTGTGTCCGTGCGTCGAGCCTATGCGCATCTCTGCACGAGCTGTAGGTGAACAGCCTCCCATGAACATGTTTCCCCTGCGCCTGCCACAAAAAGTGAACACAAAGTCCAAAAATGTGCACGACACCACAACGAGAGCACAGTCAAGGAATGCACCCGCTCGAGACCAGCAGATTCTTAAGCAACAAGCCAGATTCGTAAGCAAGCATTAGGCAGAACGGATTTAACTCTTTAAGCGACAAGCAAGTGTCCAATTTCATCAAACTGATTTGCATCAATCTAGTAACATCTAGTAACTAGTATGTAAATCAAAGCATGGTCATCTACAGAATCATCTTCCATACAGCTGTCCTGCAACAGGACATAACAGGACACCATTATCGATCGACTTCACACAAGAACGTTCGACTTACAGTAACACAAGCACCAGCAAGTACCCAGTACCTTCAATGATCTCAACGCTGTAATGCGCCGCATCTTGTTGAATTCTCCAACGCCCTAAGCCCTAAGCTTTCGATAGTGGCTACCAAGGCCCGGCAAGCTTCCGTGGCCTGCTGGTGGGCAAGCGAGCACTCCAGCGCTTGTAGAGCGCCATGCTGCGGGTCCTTATATAAGTCATGCGCCTCTCTGGTGCAGCTGGGGCGTGTGCGGGCCAAGCTTACAAAGAACGGAAGGACACACCCATCAAACCTAGACCTGCGACCTACAGTCTGGACAGTGTATAGTCTACAGTGTCTACAGTCAAAAGCCGAATGACTTGATGACATGGAGAACATATATCAATGCTCTCTGATCCTTAGTCTAAGGATTTGGCATCAGGGTCGGCAAATTCAGGTTGTACTTAGCCGACATGAAGATCACCGGGACGCCCTTCACTATTCCAAACTTCTCTTGGATCCTCGAATGTCGGCTCTTCCGGGATCTGATCAAAAGCAAGCAACACTGTCACAAAACTGGCCCCCTGGCAAATTGAGTAATTATGACGCGCACCGGGTATACATATATAATATATATATATATATTGGTTGATCAATATTCTTTCATCCTGGAATGGCCATTCGTCGCGGAAAAAAGATATCTTTCGCGGATCTTTCGCGACCTCATCGCGAAGCATGGTCCTACAACCATGTCTAGCTAACATGAGCCGGAACATGTCATAGTATCACAAAATAGGGACAGACATCTTGCAGCATGACCCGTGTGGAAGGTTGAACGCTTCCACAGCTACGCAGGGTCACTTGCAGCATCTGTGCGACAATTGTGCCAAATAGAGTCAGGTACAACTCAACCCAATCCTCGTGCAAGCTACCAACACAGAGTGATGCAGCTTGGGGAATGTTGGGGGGCCTCAAGCTGGGAACCTAGACTTTAGCGGCACATTCGCGAAACTTTCGCGAAATTTCACTGGTGCTTTCCCGGGAAGCCGTAACATTTGCAAACATCTGCGCAGCCCGTCAGGGCAGCTGCAGGTCGTTGCCTCACTGTCAGGGCTGTGCCTACCCAGATTGCTAGTCTGTGACAGTGGGGACAGGAATCGGAGAATGCTTTACGCACTGCCAGGGCTGGGCACGGACATGTTGAGGCTTCAATTCGTTAGTCTGTGACATATGGGGACACTCCAGTAGAAAAGAACACAAATGAAAGCGATGACCTTCGATAAATCTTTCGCGGGAAAAAAAGATACTTTCGCGAACCTCATCGCGAATCTTTCGCGGATGGTTCTAACATCTGAAAGGCTGTTTTATATAAAACTCCTTACACGGGGTTTTCGATCAATTCCCATATATTCGTTGGGGTGAGGAGCAGGCAATCAAGGTCCTTTCTTGGAGTCATTAAAGCTTTCAGGTGCATCTCCTGCTCAGGATCTCTTCTCGGAACTTTGGCTGGTCCTTCTCATGGATCAAATCCCACTTATTCACTGCCTCAAGATAATGCAGTGTCCCGGTGTCCCGGCACAAATGAATACAAATGACGATATTGACCCAGAGCCAGTGCCAACATCACCTCAAGCTCTTGCCAAGCTGTTTTTTGCTTGAACAGCTTCCTGGTCTAGGAGCCCTGGTGCCATTTTGGCACCCAAGCTCTGCCTGGCCGCTCACTGAAAAGGCACTGCCTAAAGGACACTCAAAAGGTATGCGTGGGAGGAGACCACGTGGAATTCATTCTGAAAACATCTGCTGAAAACATCTGAAAACCCGTTAAACGAGACTCTTGCAAGCCTCGTCAGAGAAAGCCGTTGATCTTCTCATGTGGGATTGGGCTTGCTTGATCTCCACGGAAAAGCTGCACGGTGCTCCGACTTCTTTGGCTTCTGCTCCTCATGCTGAACCAACAGCTCGACGGCCTTCCGATCCCGACAGCCCAGTGCAGTGGTCTCAACTGACCGCTGGCCTTGAGCTCCGAGGTCTGCGCTCGTCCGAAGCATCCGATTCGGGCAGGACCTGTCTACAAATTGCGATGCCTACTGTTAACCCAAACCTTCCTCTACATACTGTTTCCTGATCCTCCCTCTGCTCAGAAGGAATGGTCTTCCACTGGACAGTAAACACACACGCCAAAAAAACACAAAAACAATGCAAGAAGATTACAATACATCAATACACAATGAATTATCGGCGAAGAATCACGTCATTCGATGATTGAAACTTGAAACCTGACAGTAGTATAATATGTATAATATAGAAACGTACTCCATAAACCTCAATAGTCATTGTATGCCATTGTTATCGTAGCCTCTCGTCAGTGCAGCCTTCCACTCGGTGCCATCCAAGGTGCTGGGTGTTTTTTGGCAACCTCCCTCACCTCACAGGGAGTGTTGATAGAATATAGCACACCCACCCACCGCCGGAGCAGCTGACCAAGGGCATGCTTAACATATCTTGACATGATATCTAGGGTCCGAACATTTGTGGGATCACACCAAATATACCAGTGTTTGTATGCAAATGTTATATCAATCTTGATACAATCATCTAAATCTACGGATCTACGGATCAAATGGAGTGTATAGTAGGTCCACCAGGCCTTCCGCTTGGTGCGCTGCATCTGCTTCTCCCAAACCCGCGAGATTTGAGAGGCTGTCAGGTGCAATTCGCTGGGCACTTGTCTCTGAGCCTTGCACTCTTTTCTGATGTCGTCCGAGACCTCCAACAATCCATGTCAATCCAGCATCTCTCCGGACAAAGAACAAAACAACGCGACAAACGGAACGGCATCATCTGTGAAACTATGCAAGAATGAAGGAAGCCATTCTCATAGTCCAAATTCTGTCAAATTCATAAGGCCAGTTTCCATGTTGTGCTGAGAAGCTATCACAAATTGGCTTCTTTGAACCAATAGCCGGGAGTAGATAGTGGAAAGTTTCTGCACGTAGTCCTCAGCCAAAGGTCTGGATGGACAAGAGTCCGCTTTGACTGTTACTAGCAGCAAGAATGCTCCTAGTAGCGATGCCAGGAGCCCCTAGTAGCGTCCTTGCTCCTAGTAGCGATGCCCTTTGCTCCTAGTAGCGTCCGCTTCCACTTCTCTTACAAGGGTCCTCATCAACTTCATCTCGCGGTGCGACAGCTGCTGCATCAATTTCTCTAAGCACTGTGGTGTATTCCTCACCCCAGCCATCCAATGCATGCATCACACGGCTGGAAGCGACCTGAAGTTACAGGGATTGTACGGAAGGTCATGTAACTTGTCTAGTCTAATGATAGAGACAGCTGATACAGGGCGTGTTCCTGAGCAAGTTGAAGCCACGACCACGCAGCTCCACTCCACTTCTGGGCATATACCACCCCATGTTTCAACATGTTTCAACACAATTTTGTCTTACAAAGGCAATGGGTCATGGGACTTACTGTACATGGCAACGGCCGCCCCGCCTGGCTCCGCAAGAAATTCTTTCGGACAATCTCTCTGCATAGTTCGCGGCTGGGAAAGTCCATTACCACCTAAAAATCACGCTTTACACCATGGAATGCAGTTATTTATTATATATATATGTGCATATATGTATTCCTGTTGAGGGCACGGCAACCCCCAAGGCCTGATGTCGACCTGAGCGCGCACACATTGACAAATTGACATTGAGCCTGCGATTCTACCTTCATCACAACATGCCACAACTGCATCACCAAGTAGCTTCTGGAGATTGTTGCGCACAACCTGGGGTTCAAAATCCCCGCGAAGTACCGAGGCGTCCGCCGAGGGAAAGACCTCAAAGACGAACACATCTGGGAGGTGTGGCACGAGCAAGGAAACCACAAATCCAATCTGATAATATACGTCATATTACGTCCAACCCCAGCTCTAATTAATAATGAAAGTTCAGCCTGATTATGTATATAGCAAGCCACTATGATGTTGTTCTGTGGATGTTTGCCGAAGCTCCGAATCATGTAGACGACAAAAATGGCCTGTTTGGACTACAGTACAGTGGACCTACTTACACTCTCATCCACTTGTTGTACTTCTGCCGCTGCTTCACACCATTTGCAATTCTTCAAAGGAGCGTGAAAAAACTTTCACAAGTTCACACATACGGAAGTGACGAGGGCCACAAATAAACAAAAGGATACAAAAGGCATACCAAGGCATTTTCCTAGCCCGAAACAAGCTCTGTACAGGGGGTCAGCGCAAAAGGCAAAAAAATTACTGCTGCATCACAAAAGGAACAACTCCCACTAAAAAGTGCCTACATCATCTTGTTGATGGCTGTACATCGAAAATGACGCTTCCTAAGCTATCTGAGTTCGACTCAAAATCAGCATCGTGCTGAAACCAAAACTCAATTACAGGCTGCGACCATCTTTGACGTCAAGCAGGACAGGTGCAAAAACCACCATGTCACCGAGCATGCTACACCGCCATTTTACACATACTATATACACTTCCCAGTTGAGCAGGAGCAGTATTAAATTAGAGACGGTGATTTCGATTGGGCAGGAACTGCCACTACCGCAAGTGGACTTCCTTTTGCACATATGAGCCATCCAAAACTATTTGGTCCAAGAGGCCCTGCTAGTCATGCAGCAACGACGACAGATTGCAAAGGAACAATAGATAATTAGACACCATGGTGATGCCGATCATTTGTCGCAAACCATGTCTGTGCCAGCTGTCCGTGTCAAATCAGAGGGAATCCTCTGAAAATTTTGTGTTTCAGGCTGTATGCATTTATATATATATATATATAAAGACTCACACCCATTGTTTTCACCCGCGCATGCAGGAATGTGTCAAAAATGTTAAAGGAAATTCAACGCACATTGAGAAAGACATCACGTTCACTCATTGAACATCCCACTTTTCGAGGCACCACGGCCACCTTTCCTGCCAAACCGAAAAGAAAGGTGGCCGCCCCTCCGTACCCCCCAAGCATCCTGCCAAGCCAGGACCCTTGGGCACAGGTACCTAAGTGTCTTTCTCCTGACACGGAAATTAATTTCCCCCTCACACTGGTCTTTCACTAGGGTTTCCCACTCTTTCCACCTCCCCCTGAACTGCTTTAGCACGCTCAAGCGCACTCGGCAGTTGAGTAAGGTCATGCTGGTGAAACGTTCGGACATACGGAAGCAAAGCTTTGCGGGGCAACTTAAGGGACGCAAGCATGGACAGGCCCCCATTGATGTACATACGCGCCGTGCGCGCAGCGGCCCACCTGCCCAAAACAATGATCCGATCTAACGAACCATGTCCGCCAAACCAACAAGTGGCCCCACCCCGCCGTAAACTGTGTGGTGCAGGGGTGAGTGGGCAGCGTGAGGCATAGCCACTGGAGAGCATTGGTGACTGAAGTTGTGACACTCTCAGCCGCTCCAGCCCGTTTTCCGGACTTAGTCAGACCTAATGAGAGTACCGCTGGTTTTTCGGGAGATGTCATGAGAATGTGATGGTTACACAAACCCAGAATCTCCCCCGTGCGCAGCAAACCATAGAAGCCCAACAACAAACTAAGGCCGAAGGAGTACTCCTTGTTGAACAAGCACCATCCAAGCATGGCAAACAAACACTCTTCTGGGAGTGGCGGCACGTGCCACGTCTTCAAGAGTCTCCAGGTCACCTGTAGTTGTCCCTTCAAACGCGGTTCTGTGTCCTGGAATCCGGCAACCGTATCACTGGCAGCCCTCTCCTATGCTCCACAAATGCTCGACGTAGTCGGCAAGCATGTCATCGAAGGCGGTGAACTTGGTGGGAATGCATAACCCGTTGGTCAGAGCGTAGTCATCGAATTTCTGCTGGGCCAGACTGTATCTCTTTCGAGTTTGAGGTTGAACAGTGAGTTCTCGCAACGTTCCTGAAGCTTGTCTGTTTTTCGCTCTCTCTTCCTTACTGTGGCCCTCCAAATGTTGCTTCACTGTCCCCATTTGCGCCCAAGGGGCCGCCGGCTAGGCCGGTCGGCTGGGTTCTGTGCAGTGTGAACATATCCCCAAATGGGGTGGAGATCCGCAGCAAGAATGAGAGAGTTCACTCTGGTCAAGACATGCCTCAACTTTCTTGACGAACTTCGTCCACGCGACAAGCTATGCAAACACACCAAACTGTCGGTTAGGCGCAGGAAACGTTTGCTAAAACCACCTCGACGGAGACAAGTAGCACTAGAAGCTCAGGTGGATGCCACTTCGTTCTTGGAGCAGGGTTGGTTTGTCACAGAAGGTTTTACCGGCCTGCAGGTTTGGAGCGTTGCGCAGCCCATGAACGTCAGAGATGGCAAGGATGACAGTTATCACTTCCCACCGTACCAGTATCGTGACCACGACATGCTTTGGACTAGAAAGGGAGCCTCACGGCGGCCAACGGCACAAGAAAGGGAGGCCATCATGGGCATTCCAGTGGGGCACACACGCCCTTGTCTCCCGAAAGCGCAGCAAGGCACTATGAAAGGGGAAGACCTGATGATCACTGCTGCGAGTGAACCCCAGGTCAAGTTCCACCG